GTCCTCTAGGTTGATGGTCCCCCATTGGTGTGCCATGGATGAGACGTTAATGATCCTCGCAGGCGATGATCTTTTAATCAAATCCAATAACAGATACGTCAACAGGAAGTGACCTACAGGAAGATGAGCAGTGCTGATGTCTCCCTTAATTTCTTTTAAAGTTAAAAATGGTGTCCGATTTGGACAAATTACATATGCTTACCCATGTGGTTCACCCCTATTTGCATTTCAAAACCATCTGCTGTCTTTCCATAAGGACAAACCATCACACCAGCGTTATTGATTAATATGTTAACTTGTTTTTCCTCTGAAAGACAACCCAGTTGCATGAGTGTAGTGCTATACAAGGAAGACATTTATAAAGGAATTTATGGTGTATCCAGGTGATCTCACCTTTATTGATGTTCTCTGCAAATTCTCTGATCGATTTGGAATCTGCCAGGTCAAGCCTGCAGGCAACTACATCCTGGTTTCCTGAAGCATCCTTAACTTCCTTCAGGGCTGCATCAGTTTTCTCCATATCTCTGCATGCCATAATAATACGTGCTCCTAAACACAGGACATCAGTAAGAAATAAAGACAACATTTTTTCATCTGACAATATATCAATATTAAACTGTATAGAAATAGGGCTGTTTACCTCTCTTTGCCAGGTCGATGGCTGTTTCTTTGCCAATTCCAGTATTAGCTCCAGTAATTATAACTGTTTTACCGTCAAGTCTGGCATCAGATGACCACGAACGAAACATATTTCTGAGTAGGAAAGGAAAAGAAAAAATCTAATGCAATAATATTACTCAACTTGGTTCCTATGGGCGTTGGTTTGGTTTGATATGACAACTAGCCTAGTTTCACGTGCTCAATGGAAAAGTATTGAAACATAATCCTTTATGTTTTGCCCAGTCATGTCTGCTCTGTCCTCGATTCAAAACATCTGAAATATTTTCATCATATGAATGAAAATCCCTTTGCTTTACTTCCTTGGCAAAATGACTGTAACGGGTTATTGAGCAACATTTTACTGTCAACGTCTATAAAACATCTATGAAATACAACATATACATTTCTGTTCATACCTTAGAGCTTGCATTTTACGATGATTTGTATCCAGACAGAAAAATATGAGAGTTTTATAAAACTATCAATAAGATTAACCAGCAAAAAACAAACAAGGTCTGATCAAAACTCTCGCACTGTAACTAGTGGGAGGAGTCAGATGACGTTTAAGGAAGACTAGTGGAATTGTAGTTTGCGATTGGTCAGACC